TTGGGGGATCACCTGGCCTCTCTCTGTCCCTTTGCACAGAGCCTATGCATTGAGAACAGCTGTATTGCCGCCCACGACAAGAGGGGCAGGTATGGGACCCTGTTCACCATGGACCGGATTCTGACCCCTCCAATGGGGACTGTCATGGATGTCCTGAAGGGAGACAATCGCTTCAGGTAACTCGCCCCATCCCGGGGTGGGGCTTCTGCCCAGAGGTCATGCTCGGGAGGGTGCTGGGCCTTGGCTATTTGTCAAGGTCCCTTCCTCAAGGGGTCTGTGAATGCTAGTGCACGCTGGTGTGACCTTCCAGCATGGAAGGTCATGTGGAAAGGATGTGGAAAGGATGAGGGTCACCTGGAAAGCCTAAGCTGTGAGGGAGGGTTACTTCTGGAAGGGCCAGCCTAACCCATGGGGAACAGGGAGGGACTGCACTTTTAATACACAAGTACAAGGAAGATACCACGCTCTCATTGGAAAGCCCCAAGTGAGCTGAGGGCACCTGGTTTTGAGTGTCTGTGACTCTGTGCAGTGTCTACTCATTGCACCTGACGATTCCTTACCACGCCTGTCCCTTTTCTTGCCCGCTCTCTCCATTTCTGACTTCCTCACAGCCCACCACAGGTTGCTGTGACATTGAGTGTTTCCTCTCACTGAGTTCAGCTACCTTGCACAAGAGTCTCTGCCCTCCCCGGAATCACGTCCCCAGTGCCCAGTGACTCAGCCAGTCTTTGGGTCAGCCATGCCGCTGGCCTCTCCCTTCCTCCTTCCCCCTCTGGCCTCTGACTTCTGGCCATTTAACTGAGCTTAGCATTTATGGAGAGAAGATACAGGCTGGAATCATCCTGTTCTGTGAATGGGATGGGGAGCGCGTCATGCCAGTGATCTGGGCTCCATCTGCCTGCAGTGATGAGGTATATGNCTCAGAGGCGTGGGCTGGTGGGCACGAAGGGCGAGGACTCCAGTGACTTCCCACTGTTTCGGGAAACGGTTTCCTTAACCCTTATTGAAAGCCAGGGAGCGTCCAGTGCCCCATCTGTCCAGTTAGACAGACAGACCATGGTGCTTGCTGAGGAGAGCTCCTTGGCAGAACGGAGGCCTGGGGTCACTGGGGCTTCAGGAGCATCTTTGCCAGGGTAGCAAGCACCCACCTCTTGAACGTGGGGTCTGCAGCCCCCTCACTGCCGCACTGACCTTCCTTTGTAGGAGGTGCTGGACTCTCTGGTGAGCAATGTCAACATCGAGCTGCTCAATGCGCTCCGCTACCACATGGTGAACAGACGGGTCCTCACAGACGAGCTGAAACACGGCATGGCCCTCACCTCCATGTACCAGAACTCGGACATCCAGATTCACCACTATCCCAATGGGGTAAGGGAACCCCCGTAACAGGGCCTCGCCCTTGCCCACACTGAGCCCACTCCTGGTCCCCAGGTGGGGCTGGTCTCTGGGGTTTGGTCCTGTGGGTGAGATCAACGATAGGTCATCCTCCGCCCCCTGCCCCTGCTCCTCCTCGGACCCTCTAGTTCCACCGCTGATGGAACCCATGTTCTGTGCTGTGTCCTCCCTGCCTGGGGCTTCGAGACTTGGCCTCTGATATGGTGACCGCTCATCCTCACTTCTTCTCTGGGCAGATCGTGACCGTCAACTGCGCCCGACTGCTCAAAGCTGATCACCATGCGACCAACGGTGTGGTACACCTCATCGACAAGGTCATCTCCACGACCACCAACAGCATCCAGCAGATCATTGAGATCGAGGACACCTTCGAGACCCTTCGGGTGAGGGGCTGCCCTGGGAGCAGGCCTAGCCTACAGTGCCTTCCAAGAGGGGCTGCCTTTGTGGGAGGAGCAGAAGTCATCTCCATGTTCATGGGCATTTAGGGGACGTGGAGCAGGTTCCTCTGAATGCCCATAAACATGGATCAGACCCTCAGCTTGAGCACAGGAAACATCATAATCCCCTGCTGGCAAGTTCCCTTTGCCTGTCTCCCCCTTTGCAAACCTTTCCTTTTCTGACTCCTCTGGAAAGTTCTGTGGTGTGGCTGCAGGGCCCATTCAGCCTGCAGTGCAGGTTCCAGAGATGGGAGGGCCCTTCCTCCCAGGTGGCGGTTCCCTCGTGGGACTGGAATCAATGGCCTGTCAGGCTGCATGATCTTCTGACCACATGTCCCCGTGGGACCCCTGCTCCAGCCATCCCCACATTTCCTTGGAACCCAGGCCAACAGAGAGACCACCGTGTGGACATGGGAGCTGGGGTGTGACTTCTAGCCTGGCTTTTGGCTGCTCTGGGCCCACAGGATACTGTCCTTCCCCCACTGCCCGGCAGACATTTCTCTTACAACTGGAATGGCAAGCGGGCGTTCCTCTTGGCAACGGCTGCTCAGAGGAAGTGAACGCAGGCTACCCCGGCGGGTTTTTTGCCCTGATTCAAGCAGAACTTCCTGACCACAAAGGATGCCCAGTAGGAGGGGGTGGCTCCTCCCCTGGAGATCTCCAACACAGAGGGACAAACACCCCCTGGGCTGGGCTGGCACTGAGGTGGCCTCAGGAAGTGGCTCTGGAGGGTCCTGGGGACCCTGCTGTCTAAGCTTTTCCCCCGCTTTCCTACGGGTCACTCACGTGTCAGGAGTTTGCAAGGGAGTGATGTTCCCACGGGGTTGGTGGCACATCTTTCGCTTAACAGCCCTTGATCCCCACCGAGTGACTTCCTCTTACTGTTCAGGTTTGGCAAATATTCCTTCCTGGCTTCTTCCCCTTTGGCACTCCCTGACACCCCTCTTCCCTTCCATGAACACACGTTCATTAAGCACCTGCTACTTCCCAGACATTGTTGTATGGGCCATGATTACAAGGGTAAACAAGACACACAGATTTCTGTCCGCAGGGGCATGTATATTCTCTCTGGGAATAGAGACAACAAACAAACATGGTAGCCACAGAGTGTGTTACGCGTTGTGAAGTCAGTGGGTGGTGAACAGAGGCCAGTGGGGACTAGATGGTCAGGGACGTTCTCTCCGGAAGAGGTGACTTTGAGCTGAGGCCTGAAGGCTGAGGACAGCCAGTTCGGGAGCACGGCCGGCAGAGGGGAGCGCAGGCGTAAATAAGAGGAAGGGCTCCGAGGCAGGACCAGCAGGCAGGAAGCCAGCGGGCCAGAGTGACGGCCACGAGGCAGCCACAGGAGAGGGGGAGTGGCGGGGCTGCAGGGCGCAGATCCTGCAGGGCCACGCGGACCTGGCACAGGAGTGTGTCTTCATCCTGAGCGCAGGAGGAAGCCACTTACGCTTTTCGATCCTTCTGGCCGCGCTGTAGAGAATGGATTAGATGGTCCTTACACTCACAGGGCTCACACAAGTAATTATTACCCATAACTATTTACTTACGACAGGAGAAGGGACAGCACGCTGGGCAAGGATGCGTAACAGACAGACTCATTTTTATTGGGGGGCCCGTGGTGGGAGCAGGGTGGAGACAATGTCACATTGATTACCAAGAGAAATGACATTTTAGTCAGGGCCCAAAGAAGGAATAGAGTCAGAAAAGCAAAGAAAGGGGAAGCGCGGAGGGAATGATGGGCCCAGGCCTGGAGGTGCGAAGGCAGAAGGCATGTGAAGTAACCGAGAGGTGGCCGGGCTGGTGGGGCCGCGCTCAGGCTGGGCAAGGCCCCGGAGACCATGGTAAGAGGTGAGCTTTGGTGAGGCTTGTCGTTTCATCTTGGCCTTCTACAAAAGCCGGAGCCTCCGAGGGAGGACTGGCGAGGCTGTGTACCTCGTGTCTGTGGAGACTCCCAGAGCCTTCAAGGAACGCGCCATCATCTCCCCTCCCCACAGGCTGCCGTGGCTGCGTCCGGGCTCAACACCCTGCTTGAAGGCGATGGCCAGTTCACGCTGCTAGCCCCCACCAATGAGGCCTTTGAGAAGATCCCTGCCGAGACCTTGAACCGGATCCTGGGTGACCCAGAGGCCCTGAGAGGTGAGCATCCCTCTGCTGCTGCCGCCACCTCATTGGAGCAGCCATACTGAGCCCAAGCCCTGCTCTCGTCCAAGGGAGACATGCCACCTGCCATCTTGTCTCAGGATAGACACACGCCTGCCATCCTAGTCAGAGGAACGTGTATGGAACCCAGAAGCCTTCAGCTGAGGCGGGAGGCAGAGCTGGAAGTCCAGAGCAGGCCCTGGCCGGACTCAGGGAGCGTTAAAGGCCCAAATGATCAAAGCCAGAACGAGGCTACCAGGAGGGCAGCAGCTTGGTGATGTGGGGAGGGGATGGCAGGTCCTGGCATCCTTGAAATGGAACCATCACGCTGACCCTTGAACTCTACCTATGTCTGGCCAGGGGCTTCATGGCTAATCCAGAATAACAGCTAAAAACTGGTCATCGTCCACTCTTGAGTCTTTCCTCAGTGAGCTGCTAAGTTAAGGGGTGCATTGCTTCTTGCTAGAAGAG